CACTGGTGTAATGTGCTCTCTTTTTCGTGTCTTAGTTAAAAGCCTTGCAGCAGCATTCTGGACTAACTGGAGACGGTCAAGATTCCTTTTGCTCAAACAAAGAAAAAGGCTGTTACAATAATCTAAGCGAGATGAAATAAAAGCATGAATAACCATTTCTAGATTTAGACAGCAAAGTTTGCAGTTTGGAGATGTTTCTTAGCTGAAAAAGGCAATTCCTAATCAAGTGGCAATAGTGTTGTTCTAGGGACATGGCAGAATCAAAGATCACACCAAGGTACCTGAGGCTCAGGTGAACGGATGAGCCAAGAGAACCAGGATGCTGTTTGACACTTATTCTTTTGTCCTCCACTTGTACAAGTTTACAGCAAATAGCTTTCTGGGAATCATCATGTTGGTAAACAAATACTATTTTATACCTGTCGAATTATTATTATTCACATTTTTCATACATTCAATTAACCTCTTAAGCCCCAAGCCTACCTGATCTCCTGCTTTTTGCCCCCGTATCAGGGGGCGTTGGGGCTTAAGAGGTTAAAGAAATGAGAGGAAATTACATGTTTTTTTCCCATCTACAAACAATATGATCACTTGATTTAAATTGGTTCTTTCCTGAGACACTGGTTCATTCCTTGAGGTAGGTTTCTTATTTAAGCTTGAATGACTTGACTTTTAAATTTTTTTCAGGGTGGTATTTGTATTTTTACTGAGGTAAACGACCTAAAAGAAATTCTAAAAAGTTCGTCCAGATAACCTAAAAGAGGTATTACGGCCAGCAAGAATGTTTAATCTGGAAGGATGGACGGAAATGTTGGTCATCTTTAACTGCACTATAAAGTGATATTTTTTATGTAGCGGACTGTCGACAGGGTGATTTAAAGACTCTGCTGTGTCCAAGCCTTTTAACATTGCCATGGTGACCTACCACCACCCTGTAAACTGGATGAAATTTGTTTTAGTTGCCATGGTAACAGCTGAAGTCAGAGTAGGAGATGGTGAGAAAGATAACTTCAAGACTAGAGAGATTGTGATTCAGGTGCGTCATTTTCAGGTGTTAACAAAACACCATCTGTTTTCTTTTTTAATAACTTGAAATATTCCATATTATTAGTAGTTATTAGTAGTAGTAGCTGCTGAGTTTTACAAATGTCACTGTAGGTTAGAGGTTTCTAATGCAGTGCGTTTAGAACTGTTTCAGTAAAAGACACAACCCCAACCACAAAGGTGAAGTCCCTGTATTCAGTAAGAATACAGGGAATACGGAGGCCTTTCTGTGTGGAGTTTGCATGTTCTCCCCATGTTTTCCATGGGTTCTCTCCAGGTACTTCCTCCCACAGATCAAAGACAGGTAATTAGTGGTTAGGTTAGGTTAGGTTAACTGGTGATTTCTAAATTGCGAATGGTTGTCTCTGTGCTAGGTGGTTGTCCCTCTGTGTTAGACCTGTGTCACAGTGGCAATCTTTTTAGGATGTACCCCCCCTCTCGGCCTATGGTAGTTGGAATAGGCTCCAGCTTCCCAGCGACCCTGATAAGGATAAGCGGAATAAAATGGATGGATGGAGCAAAGCAGCCGTAGGGTTGTTTTCCAAGTGACATCTATTTAACTGGACAAATGGAAGACACCCCCTGCTGGTAATTAGAAAGAATGACTTCAAGAGTTCTGGATCCAGGATGTTTATGTTTACAGTCTACAGTCACAAAGCTAAAAGCAATATCCCCTGAGAACACACACATTTACAGTCAGATTTGTTTTAAAATTACACAAAATACGTAAAGAAATAGGGAGGGTCTTTTTAAAGAGCTGAAACATGTTTTAGTGTTGCACGTCAAACAAGGCCTCCCTCTAGGAGTGTATCTGTTTTAGACAAAGACAAAGTTATTTTTTCTTTTAAATTTCAGGGTAAAGCAAGTAGCACCTTTTATGTGTCGATGATGGGTTCCACAATTCTAAAATAACATGCTAATTCATTTTTATGATGCATAATGAGCTCAGTGTGCTTTTATGGTGAAAAAAATCTTTGTGCACTTAATTATCAAAGACTTACTCAAAACAACTGCAGAAAGGATTTAATCATGAATCGGAAAAAATATAGACTGCCAGTCAAAAGTTTGGAAACATCTTCTCATTTAATATTTTTTCTTTGTTTTTTACTACTTTCAACATACATAGATACATACTGAAGAAGAAGAAGGAGAGTGAGGGAGTGCTGCGCCAGATAGCTTGGCTTTCACAGTCATCTGACCTAAACCCAGTCGAGATAGTTTGGGATGAGATGGACCGCAGAGAGAAGGACCAACAAGTGCTCAGCATCTCTGAGAACTCCTTCAAGACTGTTGAAAACCATTTGAGGTGACGACCTCATGAAGCTCATGGAGAGTGTGCAAAGCATCAATCAAAGCAAAGGGTGGCTATTTTGAAGAATCTAAAATATAAAACTTGTTTTGAGTTAATTCACACTTTTTTGTTTACTACATAATTCCAAATGTGCTCATTCATAGTTCTGATGCCTTCAATGAGAATCTACAATCTAAATAGTCATGAAAATAAAGAAAAACCTATAAAATAGAAGATGTGTCCAAGCTTTTGACTGGTAGTGTAAGTTTCATAGACCAAAAGACCAAGGGAATGTTATTAAATATCTACACTTTTCACTTCTACACTTTTATAAAGAAGAAAAAAGCAAAAACATCTGCAGTTTAGAGAAGCTGATTTTTTTCTCTATTTTGTATTTTTAATTTTTCATTCATGCTTGTCAGTTGTCACAATGATTTTCCGCTAAACAAATATACAAGAATACAACTAATTGTTTCAACTCTCCATAAAAACAATTGTACGTGTATGTGTGTGCCAGTGCGTGCCTTACCTTTGCGATGTACTTTTATATTTCTGCCTGTAAACAAACAAGAACAAACAAGAGTTAATCAAATCGGCCACTCACATGGTGAGTTTCAGGCTAGGTTAGAAGGCACACCTTGAAACAAACATGACAGACTAACAAAGATATTTCTTCTCTGACTAAAGTCTTATCTTCATCAACAAAAACACATCTTCACATTGGAACTAATAAATAAATCATAGAGTATTCAGAAGCTTGAATAAATGTCTATATCGGTATATAGAGATATATTTCATTTGTACTGAACTACTCTAATTAACAACATGATGTATTTTTAAGACTTTTTACAAGACCAGATTGCTCCTATAGTGGCCATCAGAAGGTACTTACGGTACTTTGGCACATTGGATTCACGTTTTAGACGTTGATGGCACGTCCATCATTTATATACAGTTTATGAGTGACACAAGCTACCTGCACTAATGTCAGTGGGTTAGGTGGAAATGCTGCTTGGATTTACTGAAGTGAGTCAGGGGGCTGCATTGCAGAGAGCAAACTCAAACACTGCATGCAAAAAGCAAACTGTCATTTCCATTAACCTCGAGACAGATGAGAATGACATGCAACCACGGGAGCGTTACACAACAAAAATGGCAACTGCTGTTGCCTCGAAAGGCTTAGAAGACACGTAAAGCTAAACTATACATACATGATACATGGCCAACAAACTCAAAAACTGTTTGTCCTCTGTGTTATTAAGTCTTTTAAAATGTCCCTCATTCCAATAAAATCTGAAAAGTCTGAAAGAGACCGGTTAATAAATCATGTTTTCTACCCATTTTGTGTGCAAGGGTGGCTCAGACAAGCACTCCAAAGCACTGGAGCAGAGGTTTTCGTTCTGGGAATTGAGCCGTCCCAGCAGGGTGTCAAAGAGTTGAACATGGGGAGCGGAGGTGAAAGGAACCCATGAATGCTGGTTATTTAGTGGAGATTGGTGACTGATTTGGTTGCTTTTCAACACTGTCAGAGGTTCCAGCAACAGCAGTGGCTCATGGAGGTAATTTAGGTACTTTAAACCCGTTAGTAGCAGATTGCAGCAATTTGCATCAAACATGGAGCTGCCTATGAGTCATAACACAGCCAAATATGAACACACAGATATGATACACCTCCTTTTAGATTCAGTGTACAGAGGATAGTAGCATACTCTGCAGGCATCATAAATGAATATGTTCTTGATAAGCAGCCTGAGAATCCTCACATTTCTATGATTCCTTTTATAATAGGCACATGCCAAAGAAGAACTGCAGATAGACTGCTAACAATAAAAACAATAGCAGTTTAAGTGAATGACTGACTCTGTGTTGCAACACAATTCATGTTTATATCATCAAAAATTATCCGGTCGTTAAGTCTGACGTCACTAGCCGTGTCTGGGCCTAAACT